CAACAACAGGAACCCGCGGTCTTTCTCGCGAGTTCAAAGTGCGTCGACGACTGGACAAGCCAAGATCGCCGCTAATCCTGCTAGCACACGTCGGCCAGGTAGTCTCCCTTGAAATGTGCCCCGTCAGCCGCGGTGAAAGCGACCAACGGGCAGTCGAGGGCGAGCTGATGCGTATTGCCACCACCGCCGTGGATTGCCTGCCAAACAGTCATCTGCTGCCTGGGCCTACACGGACATGCACGCCTCGCCTCAGCCCGCATAACTTCTTGCTCCAACAGCGTTCCTGGGGACTACTGCCCCCCCCCCCCCCCAAAAAAAAAAAAAATCAACACACAAAAACAGCCCACAACCCCCCCCCATGGGCCCAAAAAAACTCCCACAAGAAGGACATTGACCCCCCTCCCTCCCGCCGCGGCTTCCCATGTGCGACGAACTACTTGTTTTAACAGATGGTATCTATCATATACAGGGAACGATCCTCAGAACGATTCAACCGGCGTTCGCCCCGCTACCCTCACCCACACACCCTCCATGCTGCTTTGACTCCGACTTCTCTTGGCGCGCAAAGGATTACGCCCATCCCGTCCCCTCCCTCGCCGAATACCTCACGGCGCTTCGCGCTTAGTGGTGTGCGAGCCTGGGCCGGTGACAAACCGGCGTGCTTTGCAGGGATGCGAGGTCAATGGTCTAACGACTACGGCGCGCACGGTTATGAGTACTCCCCGTTACTCGACGATGCTTCCGTGATTGTTCTTACCGCTGATCTTTGTGCACGGATCTCCTCCAAGGCGACCTCCTGCGGGTCCTTGGTTGGCTTCGACGCTACCTTGGTCGTCGTCGTCGTCGCGATCGCCTCTGCGACAAGACAAAAAAAAAAAAAAATGTGCTTGAACGAAAAAAGGAAATACAGCTCTTTCGCTGACGCTATGAATTCATTGCTAATTTATCTCAAAGACTCTTTTCTTAGATAGAGATGGATTCGTTGGGTCGGATTCGTTGGGTCTTAACTAAGAAAGTAAAATAAGAAAAGAGAAGTGCCGCTGATAAGTACTGACAGATGAGGGTACTCGGCAGAGAGACAGGGACGATTCTTAATGCGAAGACAACAACAAGAACAGCTGCAAGAGGGACCCGAAGCCAGCATGCGTCTTGAAGTGACAAATTCCATGCCAATATACAACATGATCTCCGCAAAAAAACAAGAAAAAAAGATAAAAGCAGATACGCTTGAATAGAAAAAGAAGGAAGCTCTGCATGGCACTTCTTGTTTAACCCTTGTTGTCGCATCAGTCTTGCAATACCCGCCATTGATCACGGAGACTTGATTTTTTTGTGGCGAGAGATAGATCACATCAAAAGACCCTTGTTATCCTTGAGACACAACAACGGACTCGTTCTGCGGGCAGGAGAGGGAGCATCTCACATACTCCTTCGTCGCTGACTGTCGTGCATATTTCCGACCAAGCTATCAGTAACAAGCAGCCGACGACAACTGCTGAAGAGCACATCAGGGAACATCACGATCGTTTCCATGCTTCCATCGCAAAAATCAAGTCTAAATAGCCCACGGTCACTCCCGACAGACGAACGCTGCTCATGACCACCATGTGCAACAGCGGCACCAACACCGACCACTCTCTCGGAAACACCGGGAACAGCTGCAGCAACGACAACAACAACAACAGCAACAACCACAACAACTCCCTCGAAAAACACCGGCAGCAGCAGCAGCAGCAGCAGCAGCAGCAGCAGCAGCAGCAGCAGCAGCAGCAGCAGCAGCAGCAGCAACAACAACAACTCACTCAGAAACACCGGCAGCAGCAGCAGCAGCAGCAGCAGCAGCAGCAGCAGCAATATCAGCAACACAACAACTTTTAATCGGAAAACGCCGGCGGCAACAACAACCACTCACTCTTGTCAGGTCCCATCTTCACCGTCCCGAAGTCTTCCCGCGCGGCCTTAATCTTATCCGTGAGAGCCTTCTTCTCGGCCGCCGCGGCCTTCTCCGCGGCCAAAGCCGCGGCCTTCTCCTCCCTCTCCTTAGCTTCCGCGGCCGCCTTGGCCTTCGCCTGGGCAGCCTTTTGAGCCTTTTTTTTTTTTTTTCCGAGATGGGATTCGAACACGATCAAGAAAGCATCATGATTTGCACCCAAGAAGCACAGGCTGGTGCAGGCAGTCCAATCCAAGACATGACAACACAGACAGGCTCGTGCAGTACAACCTCCTCCTAGTCCCCCCCCAACCCGTTGAAGGAGCCCGTGGACTAGAAAAACGTGATCTCGTTGTGTCCCGGCCGTACTACTTTCACTGGCGCGGTCGATACCAAATGAAAAGCAACACACAGACACACCCTTGCCCTTCCAGAGACCTCGATTTTACCCGCTGGCACTCACGTTTGATCAGCCGGGTAGCGCGGTCGGTACTTCGAAGTACTAATTAAGAAAATACACACACACACACACACACACGCAAAGCACCCACGCACACAACCGCCGCTGTCTTGCTGTCGCGAAGCGACAACATGCCGTCGTACCGTACCGTATCAAGCACCCACCTGCGGAGAAGGCCCGCTGGGCTTCTTGGGCGCGGGGGCCGGCTTCGGCTTGGGCGCCGGCTTCGGCGCCATGGACTTCGGCGCCGCGGCCTTCGGAGCGGCGGGAGCGACAGCCGGCGGCGGCGGCGGGGGAGCGGGAGCGGCGACCTTCTTGACGGCGGCGACCTCAGGGGCCTTCGCAGCTGGTACCGGCGCGGGGGCCGGGGCCTTCTTCGGCTCTACCTTGGGAGCGGGCGCCGGCGCGGGGGGCTTAGGCTCGACCTTGGGAGCGGGCGCGGGCGGGGGGGCGACCGGCTCGACCTTGGGAGCGGGCGCGGGCGGGGGGGCGATCGGCTCGACCTTAGGAGTAGGAGCAGGCTTAGGCTCGACCTTGGGAGCAGGCGCATGGGGCCGGGGCCTTCTTCTCGACCTTAGGAGCGGGCGCCGGGGCGGCCT